GATGTTTAAACATCAATGCTAAACATTTCATAAGCAACATTACCTGAGTGTGAGCCAAAACACGGATAACAGTTCCGTATTTCTTCATCTTCTCAAGCTGAGCCTGGATACTCTTCTTGCCCTCATCAGACTCATACTGCTTTGCGTAGCCAGTGAAAGCCTTCTTCTTAGACTTAGCCCAGTTCTTGTAGAACCTTCTCCTAACCTCCTCACTCAAATGCTGTGCCCAGACAGTGTTCAAAGACCTCAAACCTCTCGGAGTCTTAACATAAGCAACAACTCCAACAACAACCATAGCAGGTGTCTCAATGATTGTAACAGCCTCACATGTCTCCTTCTTGTGAAGCTCTACACAAAATTAAAAACAAAGTCAAAAACTTTAAAACTCAAGAAGCTCTGAGAAGACAAAACCAGAATAAACAAAATTTCACTTACTTGATCCAGGTTTCTCCACATCCCTAACAATATGTGTCATACCAGCTTTGTAACCCATGAAAGCTGTGAACTTACAAGGCTTGGTTTGATCATCCTTAGGGAAAGCCTTCACTGATGATCCAACAATAACATGTAAGCAACCCAAACACAAAAAAAACACATCAAAAGAGTAACCTTTTGGTATATAATCAAAAAAGAGATCAACTTTATAAAAACCCATCAAAAGTGTAACCTTTTGGTGTATTAACAAAAAGAGATGAACTTTATAAGAACCCATCAAAAGAGTAACATTTTGGTGTATAATCAAAAAAAAAAATCAACTTTATAAAAACCCAAGTAAGCATTTCATTAACACTAAAACCAAAATTGAAGTAAAGACTCACCCTTTCCTCTGTGACGGTTAGCTCTCTTCCTTGGTAAGAAACCAAGAGAACCATGTCTTGGGTGCTCAAACTTCCTGTGAGACATTCTTCTCCTCCTAATGTACCACAAAATCAGAAATCAAATAACTCTATAACAACACTTCTCTAGACTAATCCTAATCAAAAGATTCAAATGGATTCAATAAACAATTCAGAGAGATGAATAGTAAAATTCTAACTAAGTATATGAAACACAAATATTCAAAAATGGAGTTGAGGAAACGAGGAGAAGAGACAAACCTGAAAACTCCAATGAGCCCTGCGGCGTAAGTAAGTGAAACTATATTAAAAAAAAAAAAAAAAAACCTAATTACGTTTCATTTATATATAACCTTTAAACGCTTTTGGGCATTTTAAATTCTGAACCTTTTTTCTTATTGGGCTTTAAAGCCCAATAAGATCGAAATTAGGGTAAACGAATGTGTCTCTCTATATAACAAACTCATCTTCCTCTCCCTGCCTCTGACTTCTGTTTCAAATCTCATCGTTTGTGTTCTGTTCTTAAAATTGAATCTACAATGCTAATTTTCTGAGTTTTGATTTTTTTTTTGGGAGGAGAGTGATGAAATCAAAATTCATATCGAACGCTAGTGTCTTGCAAAGATGCGGTGAGCGTCGATTTTTCCACACGAGATTTCTGACTCCTTGTTAAAAAAAATGAAAATTTTCGTTTTAGGAATCTTGATTTCGTTTTCTTTAAATCAAAAGCTGTGTCTAGTCTCAGATTTGTCGATGGTTTGGTCAGTTTAGTTCGGTTTGGGACTACATGCGAATCATAGTCAGTTTGGTTTGGTTCGGTTCGGTTAGGAATGATGGATTGTTCTCATGTGTACTAATCTTGATGTTTCTTGAGTCTCTTATTTGTAAAATTTGGATAATCCAATGAACAAATTTGATGTAGAGTGTTTCATGGGTGGTTTGGTCAGTTTAGTTTTAATTTGGTTCGGTTCGGATTACATACTAATCAAAGATGGTTTGGTTCGGTTCGGTATGATGGATTTGTACGGAATGATGCAAACATGCTCGAATTTGATATCACAGTCAGTGCGCAGTGCCAGGAAAAGATAATTATTCAACATGTAAATATATTGAAGTCTTATAATCGCTAATTCCTGATAATATGGATTTGGAGAATTTGGGATAACACTTTCGGTATAGATCTGAGGAGAAGGCTACAAGCTCGTGTATTTGTAATGCAACTCTCCAACCTTTCCTTAGCTCGACCTCTGGCATAGGCCTAACCAAAAGCTAATCATAACCGTATTTATAAATTGTAATTAGACTGTGACTGTATAAAACGGTTTAACTGTAACCGTTAACCGTACAGTTAAACCGTACAAGTAAATTAGTTATGGTTAAAAAAAATTAACTGTAACCATTAATTAATTGTAACCATAATAAACTACCAGTTAATTGCACATTTAAATCATTAAATAAATTTAAATTATAATTATAACTGTATATAATGAAAATACACATCGAATGTTTGGTTAAGATTTTAATCTTGTTAAAAGCAATACAACAAATTGAACTTGTAAGTAATCAAAATATTTCATACTAAACTATTTATAATTTATTTATGTGTGTATTTGATGTTGAGTTTCCCAGTTTTTATCCAATACCCATATTTAACTAATTCACAATAAATATTTGAATCATGAAATATAATTTCATATATTATTTTATTATTATAAAGGTTAAAAATATAAGATTTTGTCTCTAATATTAATATTGTAATAATTATCAAATAACTGTAATTGTATTTAAGCTTAACCGTAATTAATGGTAACCATATACAACCGTTATCGTCTTAACCGTATATATAATGATTAAGGTTATGGTTAAAGAAAATTATAACTGTAACTAGTGGTTAATTAACCTTAACCGTAACAGTGGTCATGTCCTGGCATGATTCCACGGATCACATTTTTCCTTTACGTGCATCACGGAAAATAGATGCATAAGTATTTCATAAATACTTAGTGAGGGCGATCTTCCCATCTACGAGATATACACACAAGCAATGAGATAACACCCACATATATAACATAAACAAACCATCCAGCTAGCTAAACATTCAATAACACTTCCAGTTAACCTATAAATCATCACAAACAAGTCACTCAATCCCAATCGCTCAGATAATCTCATTGTCACGCACTCACCTTAACAAGGTGATTTGAACAACAAATACAACCAGGAAAGACTCTCCTCGCGACTGCAACAGCCAAACAACCCCCTACAACAATCCACACAAACAAAATCTCTATGAACCAAAATGGACAGAAACAGCAGAAAATTATAGCCATAGAATGAAGCCCTAAAACATAAATCAACCGTTAACTTTTGAATCCCTTCGGTGGAAAGCACTAAATAGTCGTCAGCAACCTTCCCACAAAATTTGGTGCCGATCAGATAAACGATGAAACCACGATCGCATTTACAAACTCCGATGATCCCAGTTCGCAACAGAGAAGAAGCGTCTCACCAAACTGCATATAACTCACTGAGTATTAATCCGAATTCACTTCTGTAAAAAGTACAATCAACGTACACGCTTTAAGAACAAACCTACCAAAATTCGTTACCTTTCGATAAGATTTGATACGTCGAAACACTGTTCTACCAAAACGTGACGAGTTTGCTTCTTTGCTTTATACGCCAAACATAAACTAACCCTCTCCTTCTCACAAGTGAACTTCTCCTTTTCCTTTTTTCAAACTCAAAACTCAGAAACAACAGCGACAAAACAAAAAAGAGAAGAAGTGTTTTGTATAAAACTAGGGTTTTTAGTTTAATTCTGATTAAACCAGGATTTACCTAAACCGACATTAATTAAACCTCCTTTGATTCAATTAACAACTCGACCAGTTTAGGAAATCAATCGGAATTAAACCGACTCCACCCTAATTCTTATACACACTCAAGTCTCCTATTATTTTCCAGAACACGGGCGTTACACATGCTAACCAATTTAAGGAAGTGATATGTCGGTAGGAGTTCAGGAACATAAATGTAAGATCGTGCTTGGAAGATTCCTTAAATAGTATAGTGAAAATTGCTCACCTTAAACTACAAGTGAATACTTGTTCAAAAAAAATGAAAACAAAACTACAAGTGTCTAGACCTATAGCTAATGAGAAAATGACATACTTCTTTTAAGGCAACATTTAGTTATTATATAAAGTTGAAATTTATGGCAAAGTTTATGATATTACTGTAGGTTAAATCGTGGATATATATATATTATTTATTCTTTGTGCACCAAATGGAGGATATAGATTTAAACTTTTTATTTTGTGTTGTATTTTAACTAAGCTTCCTTAACCTCTTCGAGAAGATTTTGTCAAAAGTTTAATATCTTACGAGCCTCGTGGAAATAACAAACAAACATCCAAGCGTACTATGAATAATCTGAATTTGGTAGGAGTATTCTGAAGACGTTCAACAAAGTTCTTGTAGAAGGCAATCGAATTTCAATTCTACAAGTTCAAATGAATAACGTTGTTTTGGGTAATTAATCCATAAGCTTATGGAGATAAATGGTTGGTTAAGGTTAGTAAAATTTTATTTTTTTACTCTGTTTGTAACCACATTATAACGAATGTTTCACATAAAATAAAATAGAGAATATGAGGAGGAAAGTGAAGATGATGATAAGAAAGATGAAGAAAAAAAAGGAAGAATAAGAGTATAACGAAGAAGCAGACAGTGAAAGTAATACTGACAACGATCATGAAATATCAACATTGAAGATTACGAGAAAGAAATAATATGAAGAGTAGAAAAACGATGAACGTGAAGAGAAATACGAAGACATAAATGTTGGCAGCCAATTGAGTATGAAAAAACAAGATTGATTCATTATTGCCTATGACGGACGTAGCTAAATTAGGCGTGCAGGAATTGATACGTAATATGATTATTGACCATTTACTTCAATTCGTATTAAAAAACCTCGTACGTTAAGACTATTCAAACATAAAACATGTTTACTACATAATTACATATACACGCTTTGAAATCTCTATATAACACCAGCTTCTCATAGCTCGTTTCTTGGCAACAAAGTCATTTAAACCTAAACAAACACTTATAGCAACACTTTTCATATGCGTTTAACTCTCTCTAGTTAGTAGTAAAATGGCTTCGGTCATTTTCTTGATTCTAACCATTCTTTCAAGAACTTCGAGAGCAACCTCTCATGGTGGTAGGCTCTTTGAAGCTTCTGCTGTTGAGAAACATGAGCAATGGATGTCTCGATTCCATCGCGTTTACTCTCACGATGCTGAGAAAGCGAGTAGGTTTGAGATCTTTAAGAAGAACTTAAAGTTCGTTGAGAGCTTCAACATGAATACGAACAAGACTTACAAGTTGGATGTCAACAAGTTCTCTGATCTCACCGACGAGGAGTTTAAGGCGAGGTACATGGGGCTGGTGGTGCCTGAAGGTACTTCATCACTTGATTCTTACAAAACGGTGTCATTTAGACATGAAAATGTCAGTGAAACCGGGGAGAGCATGGACTGGAGACAGGAAGGGGCCGTTACACCCGTTAAGAACCAAGGCCAATGTGGTATGTGGTTTAAACAACTAGTGTGACATCCTCTAAAATAGCAAGATTTCGGATCAAAACTGCATCATATTTTTTAAGTAGATACATACGAAACTTGTTTTCTTGAATAATAAATTCATATTATTCGTAGGAATAATTTGCGTTTTAGTAAGAAACTTAATTTGCGATATAATACGTTTACTATTCATAATTGGCAAAATAATACATTTTCACTATTTGAACACTATTTATAAATCTCTTAAATCTAATAACTACGATATTCATCAAAATATATTTGGTTTTTATAAAATTCTAGTATAAAAATCAATATTTTTATCTCCATAATTTGATATACATAAGAATTTATGTACAGCGGTTTATATATACGTATAATTGTATGTGTATAGATATTTTTCTGGTCTATATATGTATATTTGTTTATGTGTAAAAATATTTCTTTGTAGTTGTTTGTCTCTGTACAAAATACTTTATGTATAATAATATGTTTCTGTACAGTTGTCTGTCTATACAGATATCTGAATAGTAAAACTGGGCAATTTTACTAATTATGAATAATAAACGTACTCTATTGCAAATTAAGTTTCGAAAACGTACTACAACGCAAATTTTCCCTTATTCTTAAACCACATGCATAAATGAGCAAATTTATCTACATATTTTCATGATTTTCTATCATAAAAATGATTAATAATGTATATGAAATTTACTACTATTACACCAAACTTTTTTTTAATAATTTAAAATAGAACAGGATGTTGTTGGGCATTCTCGGCAGTGGCCGCAGTAGAAGGCATTACGAAGATTACGAAGATTACGAAAGGAGAGCTCGTATCGCTGTCCGAACAACAACTGTTGGATTGCGACAAAGAAAACAACGGATGTGGCGGAGGGTACATGTGGAATGTGTTCGGCTACATTATAAAAACCCAAGGAATCACCACAGAGGATAGCTATCCTTACCATGCATCAAAACAAACCTGTTACTCAACTCGTTCCGTTGCTGCAACCATCAGGGCTTACGAGATGGTTCCTCAAAATGATGAGGAAGCATTGCTAAAAGCAGTGTCTCAACAGCCTGTTTCAGTTGGGCTAGACGGGTCAGGACCTGCGTTTAAGCAATATTCTGGCGGGATATTCGACGGAGAGTACTGCGGGACGGAGCAGAGTCATGCAGTAACCATTGTTGGTTATGGTACGAGTGAAGAAGGGATTAAGTATTGGTTGTTGAAGAACTCATGGGGAGAACAATGGGGAGAAAATGGTTACATGAGAATCAAAAGAGACGTAGATGCACAGTGGCGGAGCTAGGATTTACATTCATGGGGGTCAAAATGTAAAAGATAAAATTTATAGGGGTCAATTATATAATATAGCAGGGTCAGTTTGATAATTTTAAGCAAAAATTAACTAATTTTGAAATTTCATCAGGGTCAATTGACCCATATGCTTGCATATTGCCTCCGCCCCTGTAGATGCACCTGAAGGAGTGTGTGGTTTGGCCCAATACCCTGTCTATCCACTTTCTTGAAATCTTTTTTTCATACTGTTTGAGTATATGCATATTGGCCTTTTGCAGACGCATGATATGTTTTTGAAATTTTCGTTTATAGATGTTTGTGTAAGCATGTATTACATTGGTGTAATAAATATGGAGGTTTTTATTTATGGTAATTTGATCTTCGCCAAACAGAAAACATGTTCGAAACCCGCAAGGGATCTCCAGAGTTGGTGGAAATGATCCTGCACGACTCTGTTTTCATACTAGAGTTCATGTTGTGGGTTTCCGAAAAGGGAATAAAGAAAACAAGAGATCCTCTCATGGATAAGCCTTGTCTTAGTAACACAGTCAAGGGAGATCTCATATTGCTCGAGAACCAGCTTCCTTAATTCATCCTCGAGAAACTTTTCGATCCGATCTTTCAATACTCCGCTCGGACCAGACATTTCGAGAATTAATCATCAATTACTTAAATTAATTCCAAGATGAGAGCGGAAACAACTCAAAGTTCAGACATTTCACTGATTTGGTTTGGTGTGTTTACGTCGATTCACTTCTCGAACAAATTATATGCATAATTAATGCGACTAAGCTAGATACAGGGGGAGTGAAGTTCGAGGTCATGCTAGAGCAATTCTCGCTGGATGTAAGTTTTGAGAATGGTTGTTTGAAGATACCATGTCTCTGCGTTGATGATGGTGTGGAGATGCTGTTTAGAAACGTATTGGTATTATAGTATATGCTTACTTGTATATCACATTGTATATGTATAGCTTAATTTGAGTCTGTATAGTGATCAAACATGTGGCGCCGTTGACGGGTTTTGCTGCCGCATAGGTTGATATTAGGGCATGCACATCGGTTGTGGTCGTCCCCCAAAAAAAAGTTTTTTTTAAAAAAGAATATAACCAATCGCGGGCAGCCACGTGTCAGTGGGGCCCGCGATTAGGGAAAAAAGGAAGAACGGGACCGTCCCGTTTTAGTTGACGACCCACTCTTTTTTTTTCTTTTTTTTTTAATTTTTAACAAAAAAGTCTATGGGACCACGCATATATACGCTAATGTGGACGCTCTTAGTTAGCTGGTGAAGGCCTGGTCATATGTTTATAAACCCTCAATTCTAGCCACACAATTCATAATAATTTAGGTTTTGGATATTTTAAGTTTTGGACTTAATTTTGTAAATCAAAAGATATTTTAGTTCTGAATAATTTTTTATACAGATATGGACATTTAAAATTGTCGTCGTAAAATTGTAGAATTTATATATATCGTAAATTATGCTTTTTTAAAAAAATACAGTAAATATCAGTTAGTGAATAAGGAAATATATACTATATGTAATATTGACTAATTATTAACATCTTTATCGGTTTATATTTATTATATATACATATATATATTTATAATCTATATCAAAGATTAGTTTTTCTATATCTTGAATATTTTAGATTAATACAATTTATAGAAAAATATTTAAATATGAATTGTTTGATTTATGTTAAAATTTAGATTGGTTAAAGACGCAATCAACGGCGATCTTATCAATTTTTAATTTTTATATGTTAACATATTTGCATATATAATACCACAAAGTTAGGCAAATATCTACTATATACAGTATATTTATAATTATCACTATCTGTATCATCTATATTTAATTAAACCTTTTTAATTTCCATCAATTATTTTCATCAATATCATTTTCAGTTTAGTTTTTTTATAAAATTCTTTTAAAATTTTTGGTTAAAATTATGGTTAAAACCATATCATATATACACAAAGATTACAAACTTCTGAATGTTTTATATTCAACAATTATTAAGATTTTCTGAACGTTTATAAGATTTAAGGTTTTCGATAAGCTAAAGTTCACGCCTTTTTAACATTAAAATCTATAAGTTATGGGTTTACTCGAAATAATACGGCTTAATTAAATTATGTTTTGATTTGCTCGTATCGAGATGCTTTAGATTTAATCTATCTTATTATTTTTGCAACCCTTTTTTTGACCACCTATGATTAAAAATTTTTTTGACTATAAATACCCTTCATATTTAACTAAACACTCTATTATCATTAAGGTTAAATGGGACAATTATTCTAACGGGTCGGTTTAAAATCTTTTAATTACAACCCGATTGGAGTAACTGGATCTAACATTTGATACAATGATTATTACTAACTTCGTATATAAAGGTGATAATAATCATCTTTCCTTTTATAACTACAACAGAAAATATCTATTGGTTATTAAAAAATACAGCGTACCAAAGGGCGTAATGATCAGTTTAGTATTAAAAAATCTTCTTTTCTAAGTATATAGATAACACCTTCCCTATTATTAAGCACACGCACATCTATATTAATTTCACATTCAGAGAATATTCAATTGATTTATTCTATATTAAGAAACAGTATTAACTGCGTCCCATAATTTTAGAAACAATATTAACTACGTCGCATGATATTAGGAGTTTATGCTAACCAGATCTTTTGATTGAATGTTACTTTCTATTGTATATGACTGTGCTTTCCAAATCTTTCAAAAATTATATTATATTGTATTTTTAAAATATGTTGACTCATTATAGCAAAACTCGACTTGAATGTTTTTGATAACTACGTTGCATAATTTTAAAAAGATACTGGGTTGTTGCAATTGAGGGTCTTGCAAAATAAAATAAAATTCTGATTTAATAACTTGAATAGTTGAATAATCGTAGGTTTTCTAGGAGTATGATAAGATTAATTTTCTTTTATGAATATGGAGTTTTAAATTTTATTTTGTAAAAAATGATGTGAACACACTAATGTATAATTTCTTAACAAAAAAGTCCACATAAATAATTAGGACCAAAATTTAGTAACTTGGTAAAGTTTGAGAATATAGTTAGCATTAAATCGGAATGAAATTTATTCCTATAAAGAAACAAATTTAATTTCGCAATAAAAATGATTTTGAAGCCAAAAAATCATCATTAATGTTAATATATATGTATATATATAGAATACCAAATGTTAATCAAAATATTAAAAATCTCCTATAACTAAGGTAAGTTTAATATTGTATCAGAAAATTTTAGATTAAAATATACAAGCAAACAATACTCATTTATTACAATTCCCATCACAAAATTCGGTTTTGGTAAGATATGTTTAGATTAGGAGAACACATAAGCGTTTTTATTTATAACCATAAATCATAAAATCAGAACTGATTAAAGATTTCCTTATTATTAGTTAAAGATCGAGTAAATATAGGAAATATAAACTAATTGCTACACAAACATTCTCAATCACACCTAACCTTATTAGCAAGGATCTCTATAAATAGTCTGTCAACAATTTACACAATAGAAAAATCATCAGAGCATACACAAATTACTCATAGAAATTTCAGAATAAACTTTTATGTTATTTTCTACATCTAAATATACGATTGTTTATGTGTCTCTAATATGTAATATAGTACAATAGACAGATTCATTCTAGATAGATCTTCGGTTTCAAGCTGTAATGTATATCTCTAAAATAAGTTATTGTTTTTTCATATCTGTATTGCTCATCTTTCTTCTTCATTTATCCTTTGTATTTATAGTTATTTTCTGAGTTCTATATATTCATTTTAATATTAATTTGGCATGAATGAAATATAGAAACAATGACGAAATTTAAATGTAACTTCAATTCCATTTATTCCAATTTTATTTTCTTCAGAGAGTATATACAAATATTATTGCATAAAATTTTCCTTTTTTTATTTTGCTTTTGGGGAATTGTATTTGTTTGTGATAATCTGAAAAACCAAAATAATGGGTTAGTTCTCTCTAGCTAATTCTACCAAAAAAAAGTTCTCTCTAGCTAATCTTTATTTTCATCCACTTATTGTTGATCACAATACATATGTGGCTAAAAAATAATGGTAGGATAGATAAAACAAAGATATAAACAATTATATTACCTACGTGAAATATATCTTTTTTTTTTAAGTTTAAACAAACGTGAAGTTTGTTTTAATACGGTTTAGAGCAAATCAATTCTCAAAGTAAAAAATAAAACAATTGCCAAAGACTTGGTTCTTTATATTTTCATAAGTAATAAATCATATCTCATTAATTAAAGTTTATATCTTGGAGTACCCAACTCTTCCAACTTGAATTTTAAAGTTTTTGTTTAGCAAACAAAAATAAAGTTAATACAGTTATAATTTTAGTGGAGTTACCAAATTAGTCATATTTCTTATTTTAAGATGTATAAAAATGTCTATAAAATTTTGATATATGATGATAACTTTTACTGTTTGGTAGTCATTAAATAAGTTTATTATATTGATTATACATCTTAGTATAGTCTATTTAGAGTTTAATAAAACTACATTTTTATATAATACAAATAATGAAAAATATCAACACAGCCAAATAAATCTGCAAAAAATATGTTTTCGTTTAAAAAAAACCAGAAATTCCCCCTCCCGTCTAGGTACACATTTAGCAAATTCTTTGATATATATACATCACATAGGATACATTGTTCATGTTGGCAATCAAAGACTATGCTAAACAAATTTTGTATATAACTATATATAAACTATAACATTTAAAGTTTTACATAACACATACGCATAAAATACTGGCCCGTGGTAAGGTTAAAGTTTTACATAACACATACGCATAAAATACTGGCCCCGTGGTGTACCACGGGGTAAAATCTAGTAATTTATTAATAATTTTGACATAAATTTTATCTATCTAAATATTTCAAACGATTATAGATAAAAATCTATTAAAACATAAAACTAATTTCTGAAAATTGTATATCCATCCTAAACAAAATCAAGGAAACAACAGTTATAATGGTTTGAAGAACTTTTCCAAATCTTCAAAATTGTTTTGCTACGCTTGGACCTTGGCTTCCACATCTTTTTTATTATACCAAACAAATCCCTTTGAATATTCTTCAGATGTCAAATTACTTGCTTTAGGATTTAAGCTATTGCATTACATTGAGCCTAAGAATTTTGATTTTGA